AATCCCTAAATACGATTATAAGTATCTCACATCTAACGAGACTAAGATAATTCATCTCCTAGAAAAGTTGAGGTCATAGAGTCTCATAAAATGATTGAATGATATGTAGAATTAATGTTACTCGAAAAATTTGATTTAAATTTATATCATGCTGCACTTAAATATTAAAAAAATTGAAGAAGTTCTTGATGGTAATCAATATAAAAAAAAGCACTTGATCAATAAAAAAAATAAATTATAAATATATGTGCCACTTAAGTACATTAATTTATTTCAAATATACCATTTTATATTTTTTAATTGACCATTTTATATTTTAGGTTGGATGCCATAGCACTCAAGATTGTGTTTGAGTTTTAGTGATTATTACTATTTTGTCTATATATTTACATTTTTTAATATATTTTATTAACCTTTTTTTGAACAATAAAATTCTTTTCTTTATGGTTGGTTTAATTTGAATTGGTGAAATTAAATGGAGCGGAGCGGTATGAATGAAATAGAGTAATATTTTATAGTTTGGATAATTTAAAATCGGATGAAGTGCAGCATAATAAAATAGTATAAATTTCATTTCATTTTATCGCTTATTTTTTCCATCCGATTTGAATGAAATAAAAAATTTATTTTATTACATTATAAATTTTTTAAATTATGAAATATAATTTTTATTCCAACTCGTTTTATTCTACTACATTCCACTCCGCTCATTTCTATTATATTCCATTCATTTATGATATGAAAAAAGGAAACTCCATCAAACCCAACCCATATAACTTATAACCCACATTCTCTGTACCAATATAGTTGCTTATATGCATTTGTTCATCTTTTAAACAAAATACCCTCAAAATAGACCTCAACACATATAATATTTTTTACCCAACTATATCATAAACCTTAAATTCATTCTCAAGTCCTACCTCCTATTTTTCAAGAATTTCATGGACCTCCGCCTTCAAGAATTTGACACCCATATTTTCATACTCTCTGAAATCTTACCCAAAGATATTAAATCATATCATTATCTCCACTTAATAAAGAACTCATAACCACTATCTTCTAAGACATGTTATATGTTGCAACCATCGTCCCTAATACAAACACTTTTTCTATATCTCATTATTGTAATTCAAAATAAAATGAGATTGGTTAAAAATATGTTTCTTATTCTTATAATTGATGAACTTTAAAGCTAATTGGACTATGCATTTGTTTGTACTAAGGTAGACTTACACTTAGGCTCTCATCAAATTAGGGATGCACATAAAATTGTATTTAAAACATTTAATGGTCAATGTGAATTCTTAATTATGTTTTTTGGCCTATTAAATGCACTTTTCACTTTTCAACATGCAATGAAATTTAAGTTAACCATATCTACGATAATTGGTTTTACTTTTTTTAATGATGTTTTAATTTATAAGTGTAGTTTATCTGATACTTTATTATACCTATATCTTATGTTTGAATTTATCGAAACTCCGTCATTTTGTTGTAAGGAAAAACTTGTTGATGCTCTGAGACAGAAATACTCTGACCAAGGGCTCCTATTGATCAATATCCCTTTTTTAATCACAACTTTCGTTACTCGTCCCAAAGTGCACTATGTATCAAATACCAAATGAAAATAATTAGTCTTTAAATGTCAAAGATGACCATAATATGCGTTGCTTTTATAGATTCACCAATAAATTCTTATATTTTAAGGAAAAATTGTTTGTATTTGATCTTGATGTCTTGTGCCAAACCCTCATCAAAGAATAATGTAGTAATTGTAGGTGATCATCGTAATGATGGTTGGAGCAGTGGTAAATAATTATTGGGAGTGATGTATTAAGTTAAAAATAAAAACAAAATTTTTAAAACTTATTCTTTTAAACTATTTTAAAATTAAGTAGTAAACCAACTCAAACCCAATTTTGTCAAAATATTTTAATTTTAAAATTGATTTTTAAAATCATTAACCACCATTTAAACTAAGGGTGAGAATATGTTCAACTGAGTTAGACTTTGTCAAACATAAGTCTGACCTGTTAAAAATTTCAAAGTCTAAACCTGACATATAGTCTATCATAAATTTATTTTTAGGTTTGAGTCTTGCCTTTTCGAATGCCTAATTAATTTGTTAGTCTATTTAAAAGCCTATTTCATTTGAATATATGTAAATTAGAAATTCAATTAATGTTTTATATAGACAAACAAACTAAAATATAACGATACTAAAACACTACGCCAAAACTGCTTTTCGGCAGCACACCTTAGACATCGCTTATGTACCAAAACGCTGCTATATGTCCTGATAAAATTGTAAATTTTAAAACTATATACATTAGACATATCTTTAGAAAAAAACGTTGCCTAAACCACACTTTAGGCATCGCTTTATGAAAGAGCTGCCTAAGATAAATTAAAACTGAAATAAAAAAAATAAATTCTAGAAATCGCTGCCTAAATTCAAAGCACTACTATAAGTCCAACAGTAAAAAGCGCTGCCATAGGTCCAAAGCGCTGCTAAAACCACACTTCTACTACAAAATTTATTTTAGACAACACACTATAGACAATGTTTTTTTCCTAAAGCGCTGCTATAGCTTTAAATAAAATTTGAGAAAAAAAAACATTGCTAAAGACTTACTTTAGAAAGCGCTTCTAAAAAGCGTTGCTTAAGGCCATACATACCTACACTTTAGAAAGTGCTTCTAGAAAGCGCTGCTAAAGGATGTATTTAGAAAGCGCTTCATGTAAGCGCTGGTATGGGCCATACACCAGAAAGCACTTTTAAATAAAAAAAAAGTGCTGCTAAAGGAAATACATCAGAAAGCGCTGCCTAATGTCATTAATTTCTAATTTCTAAATTAAAAATACGAAAACCCTAAAACTCATATTTTTTTCCCATATTCTCTTAAAACATCTCTCTCTGCAACTCTCGAATCTCTTACCGAAAACCCTATCACCTTCGCGTTACTTCATCATCTCTTCGATCAGCTTCAGACTGCACAACCTTCTCCACCTCTCCAGCTCTTCAACGATTAACACCTTCTCCTTTGTCGTGGTTCACAGTATCAAACGCTTTTCCCTGTTCAGCAAGCTCAACCGTTTTCTCTTCTCTTCAACCTCTACTCAACTCAGTCGATATCCTCACAAATTCCTCTCCACAAGCAACAACTGTAAGTCACCCGGAACAACTCCCTTTGTTTCAGTTCGACAATAAATTGCATCTTCAACTGTTCTGATCATTTCGACATTTCTGTAAGTTTTGATTTCTTTTGATTTGAGTTGTTGTCAAGTTTCTGTGATGAATAGCTGTTACAAATTTGAGTTGTTGTCAAATCCTGTTTCTTTAAAAGAAAACATTAAGTGCAAGTTTCTTATACAATATGAGATTGTAAACAAAAGAAATGTTAAAATTTAGCATGATAATTGGCTGCCGAAACAAATTGATTTTAAATTTTTGAGCATTAAAAGAAAGTCAGTTTATCTTGTTTTAATGAATTCGAGGAAAAACAAATTGTGAGCATTCCAATATCTATTACGAAACAATTATTAAAGAGGATATGGATCAAGTTTTTGGATATTCAGAATTAGGCCTCAGTGTTATCAATACATACATTAGATATACTCCAATCAACTTTATTTAATTAATTGAACAATTTATTTACTCATTTCAATGAATAGTCTTAATGCTAATGATGCTTTTATTTAAGGTTCATGTATGACAACTTGATGCGCTCACATCAATTAGAACAAAGATTTTGTTTCTTATCTCCCAACAATATTAATTCACGATTAATCGATCAAAGATCAGATGAAGTCAAAGAGTACTTTGTCCGTACATTTATGGCCAACAAAGATACATAAAATTTGTTTTTTACCATTTCATTTTAACTTCATCTATTATAATTTTTCGTATTTTGACGTTGTGTAAAAAGTTTTTATTTAACCTTTGTTAATCTTACAGTGGACATTGGTTGTTGGTTGCGATTAATCCTATAAGAGAAATTGTATATTATCTGAATTCGTTAGAAGGTGATTGGACAAAATACCCAGATATGAAGAAGATGGTTGACACGTAAGTTAGATTGTTCTAAATATTCGTTTGTATATTTATTTATTTATTTATGTGAGTTTGTTCTAAATATTCGTTTATATTTTGTTAGAGTTATACAAATTTTTCGATCACAAAGAGATACTCAAGTACTAAAGTGTAAAGCAAACAAAATTACATGGATCATAGTGCAAGTATATTTTCACAATTTTGATTATATCAGTGATGCTACTTGATAAAACAAGTTAAATCATATATCCTGATATATATTCGTATTTTTTTTCCATGTGTAGTATTCTCGTCATCGTAAGGATTAAAACATGTCAATTTTTTTATATGGACCAAAAACAAAATTTAATAATTTATAGGGACCAAAAATATATTTAACCATAAATTGTTTTTATAAATTCTCTTAAAAGAATAGTATTACAAAACTTATGTATTAAACAAACTCGAATAAGTCTTTTTTTTAGTTTATTTAAACATGAGTTGAATTGTGTATTTACAAAAATTAATTAATTTTTATTTTTTTAATATTCAAATAGGTTAAACTCATGCTTAAAAATTAGTCTCTCATTTACTATAAACTAAACTTACACTTTTGATTTTTTACGTAACAAATTTAGATTTGATAAAATCTAACTCAATTCAATCTATTTCTACCTTATTCATTCATTCGGCCATCATATTTTTTATAAATTTTTATAAAACGAGATTAAATCGGGCGGGCATGCCTAAATTGGCACCCTAAGTGATAGTATTTAAGTGATAAATATGCTTTTAAAAAACTAAAGATTGGGCTGGTGGCGCTCAAAAGAGGTGAAATGGCGGGAGAAAAGAATTAGGTTAGAATACAAAAATAAAATCTCACTCACTCACCCTCCTACAATCAAAACACACAAATTCAAATTCTTCACCCATTCCATTCCAATTCTCACTCACTCGAACTCAAATGGAAGAATCTCAAAAATGTTGGAGAAAACAAGTAGACGAAAATCTCAAAAGACTACACTCTCTCTTGTTCGGCGTAGAACGCGCCATCGAAAACTACGATTTCTCTTCTGCTTACATCCTTTCTCTTCGTCTCCTCGGATTCCTAGATTCTCATTCTCAATCGGAAATCGATCAAGCGTTCATTCAACACATTCGTCGTCAAGCTTTAACCTACCTTCACACCGCCAGAAAATCGATAACTCCAGTAACTAATAGGTAAATATTGATCGTTTATGTGTATGCGTAGATCTGTTTCGGTGAAGAAAATGAATTGATCTGATGTGATATGTGTCGATGTTATTAGAATTTGGATATATTTGTTTTGAATTTTGTGATGTATGTATGTATATTATGGTAGTGCTATGTGGTTAGGGTTTTTTTAGGTCATAGAATTTGATGAGAAATTTTCGAGAGTTTTTAAGTAAAGAGATGTGGTTAGAGATTTTTTATTTAAATACTTCGATGAGAGTTTTCTAAATTGGAGAATATTTTGTTTTTTGTAGTACACACCTCTGAAAAAAAAGTGTATCCATGTTAGTGTCGGTATCCGAATCCGACACTTATATAATTATTTTTAAGTTATACATTTCTTTAAATTATTATTTGTGTCGACTTGTTAGTGTCGTGTTTCCGGTGTCAACTTGTCAGTGTCATGTTTCTGGTGTTGACGTGTCAGTGCCGTGTTTTTGGTGTCGATGTGTCAGTGCCGGGTTTCTGGTGTCGACATGTCAGTGTTGTGTTAATGATGTACTTGCTTCATAGATTTTGCTTGATAAGTAAAGTCCGTTGTAACAATAGAACTGATATATATGTATTTTGTATTAGTTTGCAATATATTTTTTCTGAATTTGAAGATATAGTGTATTAGAGTAATGCAATGCGCTTACAATTTTTTATTAAATAATTTGATCAGAATTTGATGAATTGGATTGGAAAGTTATTTGTCGAATGAGACAAGGCTGTATTCTGTTTTGGTTTGATATATACTTTTACTTTTTAAATTTGAAGCTATATGTCATCATATATTTGAGGAATGCAATGTGGTTAGAATTTTTTTTTTAGGCGTAGTTGTTTATAGAACTTAATGAGAACTTTGGAAAATTAGGCGTAGTTGTTTATAGAACTTAATGAGAAAGTTGCCTATTTAGAAAGTAATTGTTGAAACAGTGGAACATATGATGTATATCATATATGTATTTTGTTTATGTTTGATGCATAATTTAGTTTTTTTTTTATTTTTTTTTAAATTTGAAGCCATATATCATATATCTGAGTAATCCAACGTTGTTAGATTTTTTAATAGAATTTGATCTGAATTTACCGAGTTCAGGAGTTGTTGTCGGATAAGTCAAAGTCATTGGAACAATGGAACATGATATAAATCTATTCTGTTTTAATTTGATATATATATTTTTGTGGATTTTGAAGTTATCTATCATATATTTGAGTAATTCAACGTGGTTAAGTGCAGAGGATTGTTGGATAGAATTTGACATACAATTTGATATATAATTTTAATAGAATTATATATCAAATTGTATCAAAATTGCAAAGATATTTTAATGAAATTTGATATATAATTATTTTTTGTTTTTGTTTTTCTAAAACTTGATCAAAATTTTCTGAATTCAGCAGTATTTGTTGGATAAGTCATGACTGTTTTAACAATGGAACAGGGTATATATGTACTCTGTTTTAATTTGATAAATAATTATTTTGAATTTGAACCTACATGTTATATATTAGGTTTAGAGTAATGCATTGTGGATTAGAATTTTTTTATTTAAAGAATTTTATCAGAACTTTCTGGATTGGAGAAATTTGGTGGATAAGGCAAGGCTGTTGGGACAATGGAACATGATATATGTATTCTGTTTTAGTTTTGTATGTAATAAATATGTTTTTGAATTTGAAAGTTTTATATGTAATAAATATGTTTTTGAATTTGAAAGTTTTATATGTAATAATATGTTTTTGAATTTGAAGCTAAATGTTATATATTAGAAGAATATAACACTGGTTCAAAATTTGTTTTAAAGAATTTCATCAGAATTTGCTGAATTCCAGAGAAGTTGTTGGATATGTCAAGGCTGTCGGAACAATGTACCATGATATGTGTATATGTGTTCTGATTTATGTTTGATATAATAAAAATAATTAAAAAAGAACTGGACCTGTTGTCGAAGAGTAAGAAGTGATGTGTATTTGTTATAAGTTAAATGAATTAGGTTTTGGTTGCTAAGGTTTGATGGTATTTGTTGGATAACTCCAAGTAAACTACTGTTACAGTCTTAATTACTTGAGAGTGGTGTGATGTGTTTGCATTTATTTGAAACTTGAAAAATTCGGTCAAATTTCTCCAAGATCTGATTGTGAGCTGAGTATATTGTGCATTGTTAGCTTTTAAAAGGTTAAATAAAAACTGAGTAATAGAATATTCACATAAATAAGGCTAAATAGGAGATCTGTATTGAGTAAATTTTGCGTTTGGCTTTATCATGCAAATGACAGTAAGCTAGTACCTAAGGCCAAAAAGAGGATTTGGGTTTTCCACACGAGCATGCTGTTATATTCAGTGACAATTTGAGTGCTGTTTGTTTGGCAAAGGGCCTTGTTTATCAAAACTCAAGAGAAGATCAAGCATATTTACAAGGTGTCACTTCTTGAGGACTGAGACTAGAATCAAATTGCAGAGGATTGTCACAATATAGTATAGCAGATATATTAAACTAAATTAGTCCCAAAGAGAAATTTCATGCATATTTTGGATTTGCTCAATGTTGATAGATAGAAATAGCACTAAGGGGCTAGAAAATGACAAATTGAAAGTGATTCTATAAATGTGTCGAGAGGATGCTTTTGTTGTTGAATTGTAGTCTTTGTAGCTTCTTATTTATAATAGTGGAGATTCTGGCATTGTCTGTAGATATAGAAAACATAGTATGAATCACGTCTTATGTTTTCTCTTTTAAGTGTTTTGTTTTTTTGCTAATTTTTACCTAAACACACTCTTGGTTACTTTTAGAATCTGTGATGCAACGTTTAAACTCAAATGATATTTGATTGATTGATATCAATTTTCTTCCATTTTTATGCCTTGTAAATTTTCCTCTTGCTGCCATGTTTCTCAAGATTTTTATTCCTATCTATTTCCTTAGCCAAGCTTTTGAGCAAGTAAAGAGGTCACCAGGACCTGTTTTTGGCACATCAGGAGATATTGACATTGAAAAGATACAGAATTCAAAATATTTTCAAGCTCTTCTCAAGCCATCTAAAGAAAAAGATTGCAATCAATTGGTAAGAAACTGGACTGCAGTTGATTGAACTCTATTAATTTTGGTTCCTCCAGATTCTAGAGATACTGATTTTCGAATATACATACTTCTTTTTTTGTAGTTCCAGGTTGATCAATCGAGGAAGCAAAACAAAGCAGAAAAGGAAGCCTCAAAGGAAGGGGTGCAAGCAAAGTTAACATCTTTGTATGGGAAAAGCAGCTTGAGGACTAGTAATGGTTCCAAAAGTTTTTTCAACTTGAAAAATAACAGCTCCGAGGACTGCATGATTATTAGAAGGCCTCAATCACATTCCATCAATACAAAGGGTCCTGACTTCTCTTCTGTTATTGATGTAGAAGGAGAGGAACGAGCTTATGGAAACACTTTTTCAACAAAACGTGCACACACTGAAAATAATAGCCCAAGAGTTGGCTATGTCAAGTCACCTTCAACCAAGGAAGAAGTTAATCTCGATGTTGCTGGCAACGGGTTCGTTACTGCCAGAGCAAAGTTGGTATAATTTTATTTACCTTATTCATCAAATTTCTCTCTTCCTTTTTTTTTGTTATTGATGACTATGGCCTCTCAAGAAGAATGATATACTTCCTATATGAAACTTTATTATCCATTCTTTATAAGGAAATACCCTTAAAAGGTGAAGAGTAAACTCGCTCTATTAAAAACACTCTTCGTCAGTCATCTTCAGCGTTAATATGACAATTTTTTCCTATTTTTTTCTTAAGTAATTCTTGTCATGACTTCTGGCTTGATGCCTTTCTCATTGCATTTGATACTATATATAATAGTGTCGGTAATTACAACTCATAATGACTAATTACAATTCATAATAACTAATTACAACTTATAATGGCAATTTCCTATTCTATGAATGTAAATTATTCACAATAAATGTGTTTGATTATTTCCTGATTAACATCCCCCCTCAAATTGATGCGGCTGGTCAAGGAGCATCAATTTGCTAACAAGAAACTGATGTCGTGGGCGTGGAACAGCCTTGGTAAGAATATCTGCAACCTGCAACTGAGTACTGATGGGAGGAAGTGATATTATTCGATTATCGTAGGCGTCACGTATTGAATGACAATCAACTTCGATATGTTTGGTGCGCTCATGAAAAACAGGATTTGCAACAATTTGAATGACACTTGTATTGTCAGCATAAAGTGAAGTTGACTCTGTTTGGGGAAATCCAAATTCAGCCAAAAGACCACGAAGCCAAAGTATTTCTGAACAAGCAGCAGACATGGCACGATACTCTGATTCAGTAGAAGATTTAGAAACTCTTGCTTGCTTCTTACTTTTCCAAGAGATCAATGAAGAACCAAGAAACATGCACCAACTAGTAACAGATCGACGAGTATCAGGACACCCTGCCCAATCAACATCACTATAAGCACTCAACTGAAGAGAAATTCCAACGGAAAAGAATAATCCGCGGTGAGAGGTTCCCTTTAAGTAGCGAATTATACGACGAACCGCAGCCAAGTGAAGACGACGAGGAGAATGCATGAATTGACTTACTTGTTGAACAACAAAAGATATGTCAGGGCGAGTAATAGTCAAGTAGTTGAGGCTGCCCACAAGTTGTCGATACAATAAGGGATCAGGCAAAAGATCACCATCATCACGATGATATTTAACATTAACCTCAAGAGGAGTATCTATCGGGTTAGCCGATTCTAGACCGGCCATAGAAATCAAATCTGTAGCATACTTGTGTTGATGGAGAAAGATGCCCTTGGATGTAGAATGAACCTCAAGACCAAGAAAATAATGTAGATTACCCAGATCTTTCATGTGAAATGAGGCTTGTAACTGTTGCTTAAGTCGCTGAATGGAAGCATGATCCGAACCAGTAATAACCATATTATCAACATACAAAAGAAGCAGAACAATACCCGTGGATGTGCTATGAATAAATAAAGATGAATCATACTGACTCTGAATAAAGGAGAATCCAAGTAGAGTGGAGCGGAATTTCTCGTACCATGCTCTAGGTGCCTGTTTCAAACCATATAAGGAGCGTTTGAGCTTACACACGCCTTTAGATGACGAGAATAAGCCTTGAGGTGGAGTCATATAAATATCTTCTCTCAGGTCACCATGAAGAAAAACATTCTTCACATCCATTTGATGAAGAGTCCAACCACTAGAAGCAACTATAGAGATGATCGTGCGGACAGTTGTCATTTTGACAACCGGTGCAAATGTCTCATCATAATCAATTCCATATTCCTGCTTGTTTCCTAACGCAACCAAACGAGCCTTGTAACGGTTGAGGGACCCATCAGAATTTAATTTCACAGAATACACCCATTTGCAACCTATAGGTTTTACATCGGGAGGGCAAGAGACAATATCCCATGTGAAATTCTCTTGAAGAGCTTGAAGCTCTTCATTCATTGCTTTTATCCATCGCACATCCTTAACAGCCTGTGAGTAACAAGTAGGAATAGATATGCTAGAGAGTGTGGCAGTCAGAGAAGTATGTGAGGAATCATACCTGTCTGGTGAATATCTATCTGGGGCACGAGATATTCGACCAGAACGCCGTGGTTCAACCGGTACAGGATCAGGTGGCGGTTCAGCGTCGGGAAGGGGTGTGGGAACCTGCTGTCTGTGTTTTCTGACATATACATGACCTGGTTTATAACGTTCTATAGATTGAGGCATAATAGAAAACTTAGGAAGAGTAACAATATCATTAATGGCAGGAGAAACACAGGGAAACATAAACTGATTATCAAAAAATGTCACATTTCTTGAAATGCGAAAACGATGGTTAGTGACATCATAACACACAAATCCCTTATGAGAGTGACTATATCCCATAAATGCACATTGAACTGATTGTGCTCCAAGCTTATGCCTTTCAAAAGGAGGTAAGTGAACAAAACACACACACCCAAAAGTATGTAAAGCACTATAATCAGGATGAATTTTAAAAAGACGAAAGAAAGGAGAATCAAGTTCAATAACCGTTGAAGGAAGACGATTGATCAAGAAGACAGCTGTGGAAAGAGCTTCTACCCAAAATCAGGATGGTACTGAAGCTTGGAGAAGCAATGTGCGTGTTACATCAAGCAAATGACGATTCTTCCGTTCTGCAATACCATTTTGTTGAGGGATATTGGGACAAGATCGTTGCGACAAGATGCCTTTTTGTTGAAGGTATTCCTGAAACTTATGAGACATGTACTCACCACCAGAGTCAGAGCGAAATTTTTTAACACTTGCTTGAAATTGAGTTTCAACACATGTTAAAAATTTCTTAAACACAGAAAACACTTCAGATTTAGACCGAAGGAAATATATCCAAACAAAACGACTATAATCATCAATAAATGTGACAATATTTATAGTGAGAATGAGAAACTACAGGAGATATACCTCATACATCACTATGAATCATTTCAAAACAAGTGGAAGCACGATAAGCACCAGATGGAAAAGGAAGTGTTTTACTTTAGCTAATTTGCAAATAGGAACATGAAATAGAGGCATTAGAAACATTTTTATTTCCCAACAAACCATTTTTAAATAAATGGGACAAAACAACAGGGTTTGGATGACCTAATTTTCTATGCCAATCCTCATAAGAGTTCAAAACATTATTACAAGCAAGAGATATATGATTAGAAATAAAATGGAGTGGAAACAGTCTTCCCACTTTAGGCCCCTTCGCGATCACTCTCCCCGACACCTGTTCCTGCACAAGACAACCATCACGATAAAAGTTAACATCATAATTTTTATCTACCAATTGACCAACAAATAATAAATTAGACGCAAGTCCAGGTGATACAAGCACGTCCCGAAAATCAGAGTTGATGTCGCCAATATCCGTAATAGATAAAGTATTAGCATCAGCTATTTGAATTTTCTGATTACCATGATAAGAGTGTAAATTGTTCAAATACTCTGAAGAACCTGTCATGTGATTGGATGCAGCCGAATCAAGAAACCATGGGCAAGAAACATTAGAAGACTTACCCTTAATTCCCAAGGCCGAGAGAGCGGAAAGTACCATTTGTTGAATCAATTCAGGTTGTATAGCACTATCGTTTGATGCCCCATTAGTGGAAGGACCAACCGCATGATTTGCATGGAATGCCTGTACTGAACGTTGTGTTGGTCGTGGAGGATGTGTTGGACACTCAGAGATAATATGACCCTGTTGCTTGCAGTAATTACAAAACTTCTTATTGCAGCTACGGGCAATATGACCAAATTGTTTGCAAGAGAAGCACTGAACATGTTTCATATCATGATTTTTACCTTTACTTTGAGCAGCATATGCAACCATCACGGGCTCGGAAATGGTAGCATCATGAGACATGGCTCCTTGAGTAATAAGACGTTGTTCCTCCCTTAGGAGTTCTCCAACACATGTATCTAAAGAAGGAATAGGATTCCTATTCAGCAAGGCACCTCTGACAACCTCAAATTCTGGGCGTAATTTCATGAGAAATTGATCTCGACCACTTGTGTTGTAAACCCCTTGAACAGCCGCGAGAGAGGTCTTGGGAACATTAGCATGTATACTAGCAGAGTGTTCTGCCCAGAGATTTAAAAAACCAGAATAGTATTCTTGAATAGACAAATCACCTTGTTTGTAGTTGGCTATTTCTAACTCCAACTGAAAACATTTTGCCGAATTGCCCTTGTTGTAAATGCGCTTTAGATAATTCCACATTTCTTGAGCAGTTGAAAAAGAGCGTAAGTTATTGATCATGTGAGGATCAATACTGTTGAGAATCCAAGTGATGATTTGAGTATCTTTAGTTTCCCACGCATCTAAACCAGGTTTCTCCGTCGGTGCCTTAGAAACACCATCTAAATGACTCCATAATCCCTTTCCTTTAACATACATCTTGAACTGAAATTCCCATGCAGAATAATTCTTGCCGGTAAAACGGACACAAAAATTCTTTTCATTTTCCATTGCCATTAGATATAACCCCTTTGTATTGTTAAATAAACAGGATAAATCCAAACTCAGTGTGCACGTGCAACCAATTTATTTAATAATACCAATTAAATAAATAGTAAAACAATGGGAAGCAAACCAGGAAACCACGCGGTAGCTAAACCAGGAAACCACGCAGTAGCTAACGAACGGTGAAGAAACACCCACGATCTAGAAATCGCCAACAATTCAACAATGAAACTACGATCACCGAACAGAATCACCAAGAACAACGATCACCAAGCGGAATCGCCGAGAATACGAAACGGAATCGCAAAGCACAATATGTTAGCAGCACCAAATGATTAACGATCACCGAAACAACGTGCGGTAAACACAGAATCAAGATCACGAAGCAACAACAATGAAGAAATCACGAAACGGCAATTGAAAGATTTCAGATTTCGAGAAATACAAACAAGAAACACGATTTCAAGAGTGACCCAGTGGGGTGTCGCTATTCAGCCAAGAGAACAAGGATTCACAGGTTAGATCGAATCCTTCTGATACCATGTCATGAATTCTGGCTTGATGTCTTTCTCATTGCATTTGATACTATATATAATAGTGTCGGTAATTACAACTCATAATGACTAATTACAACTCATAATAACTAATTACAACTTATAATGGCAATTTCCTATTCTATGAATGTAAATTATTCACAATAAACGTGTTTGATTATTTCCTGATTAACAATTCTTTCTTATGGAGAAGAGTTGATGAAATAATGTTAGTTGGGCAGGAAATGGAAGTAAAGCAAAAGCGAGGTGCAATCGGCTCTCCCAATGCATCTGTCTCACCACAATGCGACAACCATTCTGCCAACAGGCTATATGGTGGGAGATCATATGGTGTTCCACGACGTGGCATCCGTGGTAATTTTGTCCCTCCTATTAAATCCAATGGGAACAACACTGGAAATACAACTTCCCGAAATGCAGGAAAGGGTGATGATTCTTTAGACGAATCAACAAAAAAATGGTCAGTTCTGAGATCTTCATATTAGTTAGTGCATCTTCTTACTTCTAACTCCTTATCTGTGGACTATCTCTCGAATTCATTCTCTTCGTACATTCCATAAGTACAAATAAAAATGTCTCATATTTTATTGTAGACAGTCTTTCAAAAGCATGGTTATCAAAATCACGATTTAAATCTTAAAACCTTATGATTTTACAATCTCACTCACCCCCAACGATCTAGATCTTAAGTAGAATCGTGTGTGGTAGTCAAATTGTGAAAAAAAAAACGTTAAAACTAATGATTATGTGCAATTGGCCAATTCCGGCCATAATTGGCCATTTTCCGGCCACCACCATTACAAGCCGAGAAGGATGACAAGATACAAAGATGCAACAGTTTCGGTCCGGCGGCGTCCATTTTCCCACGAATACACTTCCTTACGAAAATATCATGTAGAAATACTTCAAATATGTAGTATTATTTTCCGTTTAAGTAGTATCTTAGGATTTTTGTTAAGATCTTATGTTTTGCCATCTTGCTAACCCCTCTCGATCTTACAAAAATAATTGAGTAGGATCTTTGGATCTTAGTTACGATCTTATATTTTACGATCTTACCATCTCCTCCCGATCTTATGCAAAATCCCGATTTTGACAACCTTGCTCAAAAGTGTTTGGATCTTACAAACTACTGGGGATCAACCCTAACTTAAGTTGTCATACTGGTCTATACCGTTTAAATCCTTTTTCTTGTCCATAAGTAGTTGATGATATCATGATTGATGATTGGTTGGATAATGTATGCACTCTTCCTAATATGCTTCATATTCTCGCAGTTTGGAATTCTTGTGTGGTCCTGATGGTGAACTTCCAGAGAAATTAAGGAATTTAGAACCTCGCCTCATTGAGCATGTTAGTAACGAGATTATGGATAAAGCTCCCAATGTCCACTGGGATGACATTGGTAATATAAATAGCTGTTTACCTTTCTGTTTTGTTTACCAACTTGGCAGTTCTAATGAAAACTTCTTATTCTCATTCACTGATTAATGACACTGTAGCTGGATTACAACATGCCAAACGTTGTGTCAATGAGATGGTCGTATTTCCTCTGCAACGTCCTGACTTATTTACGGGCTGCCGTTCTCCTGGGAGAGGACTGCTTCTATTTGGTCCACCAGTAAGTTCAAATTTTTCTTACTGATGTTATAATTTTCAAAGGCTCTGGTATTTGATCTGTCTTATGTACTTTGAATGCTAGGGAACTGGTAAAACAATGATAGGAAAAGCCATAGCTGGGGAGGCAAAGGCAACCTTCTTTTACATATCTGCAAGCTCGTTGACCAGCAAGTGGGTATGTTTGATATGCTCTTGCTCTAGCTGTTTATTTTCAAGATTTGCTGATATATTTCTCCTAAAGCATCTTGTGCTTTTTTCTAGAATGTTTTGAGATGATTTTCTGCAGTCTTTCTCAACTTGTGAACTGATCCTGTCAAATTCTAAATATCATGTTTTCAATACCTGATATATGTGCTGATAATTACAGATTGGTGAAGGTGAAAAGCTAGTAAGAGCACTCTTTGGAGTGGCCAGTTGTCGTCAGCCAGCTGTAATTTTTGTTGATGAAATAGATTCTCTTTTGTCTCAGGTATGCTACTAATGCCATGGCCAATAAAGGCAACATCGATATTTATTGTGTAGTTCATGTTCAACTACTTTGTGGAAAATTTTAAATAATCAAGTAATAGATTATCAAATATAAAGAAGTTAATGACATGTAATCTTAGGGAAATATTTAATGACATGAAATTTCCTCTTGTTTGTTTAATGTTGAGTTAGGTAATTCAGTTTTGGTAGTTAGTTAGTTTAACTACCTTAGTTTGTTATGTTGTGCCACCAGATGTGGGACTTATATTAGTGATTGTATATAAGTCTTTATTCCTTCAATGAAAATAAGTTGTTGATCCATTAAATTTCCTCACTCTCTGAACTTCTCTGATCCAACTAAGTGTGAGAATAATCAAGTATCATTGTGTTCTAATGATATTGAATTCCTGTGTTCTAACTTCTAACATTTAATATATGCAACTTGTTGCAGCGTAAGTCAGACGGCGAGCATGAATCAAGTAGAAGGCTAAAGACACAGTTTCTTATTGAAATGGAAGGCTTTGAAGGTGTTACTGAGCAAATTCTGCTTATAGGTAATTGTGGAGTATTTAAGTGGCTCAATTCTTTTCCCTTGATAGCTAGCTTTTAAGGGCGTGCTCTAACCTATTCAAGCCCTTTTTGCATGTTTACATATTGTAAATGTTGTCTATTTGGCTTACTCTTCTGTACAATACAATGGAATGAATATTTCATTTTATGTATGGGAACCAAGATTGGTCTTGTTATGAATTTGTTCTAGGTGTCATATATTAGATATTTTATGGTAATTATGATTTTGAGGCAAAGAAAATGCTCAATTTGATTGGTTAGTCTTTCTCACTGAAACTAGGACTGTCATACGATATGTTATAGAATTTGGGTTAAATTTATTATACAGGGGCAACAAATCGTCCTCAAGAGCTTGATGAAGCAGCACGAAGGAGACTTACTAAAAGGCTATATATTCCTCTACCATCCGCAGGTGATAATAATGATTCTCCATCTTTCTACAAAGCCTTTCAATCCGAATCTAACTATTATGTTTGGTCTTTTAGATGCAAGAGCTTGGATTGCACGTAGCCTTTTAGAGAAGGATGGATTATTCAATCTATCGGACAAGGAAATGGAAATTATATGTAACTCAACGGATGGTATGTACAATTTTCCAGTTAATCACATTTTCCAGCTTTTTCATGGTTTCTGTGATTTACTTTTACTTGGTAACTTTCTTTTCAGGTTATTCAGGATCAGACATGAAAAACTTAGTGAATGACGCTTCAATGGGTCCCATAAGAGAGGCAATACATCAAGGTATAGAAATTACAAAGTTGAAAAAGGAGGATATGAGGCCAATAACTCTTCAGGTATGCAAAAAAAGCTGGACCAAATGAATTCCCTAAAAGAATTAAATTTAAAATGTTTTCAATTTTTGTAGGACTTCAAGAATTCCCTAAAAGAGGTGAGGGCTTCTGTTTCACCAAATGAACTTGGAAATTATGAGGAATGGAACAAGAAATTTGGAAGCTTAGCACTTTAGAGGATGTTTTTCATTGTAAGGAGACTAAGTATCATTTCAACTAGATCAAACATGTAGAGATTTACCTTAATAAATCATAGGATGCCAGAATCAAATTACCTACACAGAACATTTGGATGTTATTGTCTGTGCTGATATGATATAAGTAGTATTGAAAGAAAAAAACGTCAACAAAGTCTTGAATAAGAAAATGTCTAAAAGTGCTGAAAGAGGATACAAATGAATTAGAATTGCATGAAGAAGAGAACTTGAATGGTGGGTTGTGATAAAATCAGTAATGAACACTAGAACGTGATTACGAAATCACAAAACATGATGAGTGTTAAAAGTTTGATAATGACATAAATGATTTGAACGCATATTTATAAGTGAGAATAATTCTCATAATATAAACTAGTTTTGTAAGGATAAATTAAGTTTAAATCACATTTCTTATTAACAATGAATACAAAATCATAGCCCAGCACAAGATGCAGAGTTTGCTCAAAAAGTTGATACTGGTATCACATTTATTGTGAATTTTGTACACATTTTTATATATATTTAGAAATTGAAATTTGCCAAGTGCAAATAATCTTATAGCTCAACACTTCGGTCCAGTTTGGATTTGTTTAATTGTTTTATTTTGTAACTTGTTCATTGACTTAGAAAATTTTAGATTTAGTTTTTTAACACAACTTTTTATTTTTTAAAATATTTATAGATTTAATCATTTAACTAAAATAGTACAAGTTTTTCGATTTTTTAGCTATCAAAATACTTTCTCTAGTCTTTAATATAATTTTTTTTTTTACTTTTTAAGTTCATTGAATAATGAATGTATTTGGATTATTCTAATTGTTCAGTGAACTTAAAATTTTTTTTTTTATATTAAGAACTAGAGGTAGTAGTAGTGTTCTACTTAATTAAAATCAACTGTGTTTTTTTGAAGATTGACTGTATATTGGTCACAATTGCCTTTTGGTCTAGTACAGTTAACTTTCAAACATTTGAGCAATTGACTGAGTAAACTTGTAGTGTAAGGCATGAAATTTGTCATGGACATTCTTGGAGACATATTAGGGACCATGGAAATCATTTGAGATCTTTGCAGCCCAAAAATCTTTGTGAAAATTGAAATCCTAGTTGGAGGTTCATTGCTTATGAGGAGAATTTGTCTGATCAATTCTTGGTCAACCTTGAGCAATTGAGGACCTTTAGGAGCATGTATTGAGTAAAAATGGGAGGGAAAATTTCGGGATACAACAGATGCCCCTGTTCAATCTTCTTAAACCTGAGGATTTAGATTGGCTCATCTGCCTTTCGTAATCTGAAGGTGGAAGATGATTGAACACTAGAGTGCCCAGAAATTTGAACTTGCATATACATGAAATAACACTGCTGGTTGATGATATCGGGAATGAGATTACAAATGCTATTTGAAGAAGATGACTGAGAGTTGTCGAAGATGGGCTTAAAGATGCCATCCAAAGTAGATGCTGACTTCATAGGAGGTCTCTTTATGGGGATTCCAGTTCCTGTTGTTTGAGGAGGACTTCGCTGGGGAATGTTGATTTCTGTTTGGGGAGTAGAGCATAGGAGCCTTAGTTGTCCATTACTCAACTAGGGAGTTATCTCTTGACTGGAGATATGAAAGTTAGCTGTTATCTGGTCGAAATCTAAGCTTCACAACGACTTACTCGGGAGTATGAAATTAACTGTTATCTGGTTGGTTTCCAGGCTTCACAGTAAAAATGAAGTTGAGCTGTTATCTGGTTGTACTCCAGGTTTCACAGCGACTCAAATTGTTATCTGGTCGGAATCCAGGTTTCAATGACTTACTGGGGAATATGAACTTAACTGTTATCTGGTCGATTTACAGGCTTCGCAGTAAAAATGAAGTTGAGCTGCTATCTAGTTGTACTCAAGGCTTTGCAACGACTCAAACTGTTATCTGGTCGGAATCCAGGTTTCAGTGACTTGAACAAATTAAGCTGTTATCTGGTCGGAACCCAGGTTTCAGTGACTTGAACAAATTAAACTGTTATCTGGTCGGATCCAGGCTTCAACCTGAATTTGAGGTATACTGTCATCTGGTCAGGTCTAGGCTTCATAGTATTATGGATTATACTATCATCTGGTCGAGTCTAGGCTTCATAGTAATTGACAAAGATGAACTGTTATCTGATCGAATTCTGGGCTTCAATAATGATGTTAACTGCTATCTGGTCGGGTACATGCTTCACAATATTGTAGATTATACTGTCATCTGGTCGGGTCCAGGCTTCATAGTAATTGACAAAGTAAACTGCTATCTGGTCAGACTCTAGGCTTCACAGTATCTTGACAAAGTAAACTACTAACTGGTAGAATTCCAGGCTTCACAACAACTTATACTGTTATCTGGTCAGATTCCAGGCTTCACAGTGTCTTGTATTGTAGATTGACTATTATCCGGTCGGATTCCGGGCTTCAGCAATGATGTTGACTGCTATCTGGTCGGGTCCAGGCTTTACAGTGTTGTAAACTTCTATCTGGTCGGATTCCAGGCTTCACAGTGTTGTAAACTGCTATCTGGTTAGATTCCAGGCTTCACAGTAAATTGTATTTGATGTTAACTGCTATCTGGTCGGGTTCCAGGCTTCGTAGTAAATTGTATTTGATGTTAACTGCTATCTGGTCGGGTTCCAGGCTTCGTAGTAAATTGTATTTGATGTTAACTGCTATCTGGCAAGGTCCAGGCTTCACAATGTTGTAGAAGTTTGACTGTTATCCGATCGAATTTCGGGCTTCAGCAATGATGTTTACTGTTATCTGGTCGGGTCCAGGCTTCAGTGTTGTAAATTGCTATCTGGTCGGATTCCAGGCTTCACAGTAAATTGTATTTGATGTTAACTGCTATCTGGTCGGATCCAGGTTTCACAGTGAGTGACGAGCTGTTACTTCAGATAGTTGCCCTGTCTTGTTTTAGGAATTAATCTGGAACTTTGTTGAAAATTGATGATGATGTTTGTTTGTTGATCTTTCCTGAAAAAGATAAAGAATTAATTGTATGCAATGTCATGATGCATGACACACATTGTGTATGTTCTCAAAATAAGTGAGATTGTGCTATATGTATTTTGTATGCATGTTTGTAAAATGATCTATGCATACAAATATATGAACTGCCTAGTTGTTCTTTGTAGCGTCATTGAGTTGAGGGAAAATAAGTCCCCGACTGCTGCTGGAGATGAAGAATTTGATTCTTTATTATTTGTTGAAGTTGAATTGCTGGGAGATGGATTTCCGTGGCTAGAGAAATAACTCTAATGGGGAAAGAAAACTCTGTAAACTGCTTGGGGATTTTCATGAAGCTCTGTTGGGGAACCTAAGAAGTTCATGAACCATGTTGAGGAATTCTTCAAGATGCTGGGGAGATGATTGGAGACTCTTGCTCTGCAGGGGATATCGAAACTTCTGACACCATTAGGCTGTATGCTGAGGATATGGTAGTGACTTCGCATGAGAACGCCTATGTCTCTATATCTATTGTGGGATGTATCTGCGGGGATCTGTAGATGGCTTTTTAGACATTGTCCCGTTTCTTAAATTCAATAGTAATCGTCTTTCTATTTTTTATGCGTGTATTTGTAAACGGTGATCATATTCAAAATGCATATGTTAAAAATAATCACTGGACGTTTTTGCAAAACAAAACAGAAAAATAAAAACAAATAGTTTTGCACTTTCAAAGAGATAGTTTTGTATTAATCTGAAGAAGTCTGCCTATAACAGGCGTTTTTGTACAAGGGGACGAACATCCTAATAAGAAGATGCCATCGTGAAAATGAAAACCATACAAAGTAGTATACAAATAGAAACAACTATGTGAAATGATCCCATTGGGTTTCCATTCTTCTATTACCTTTATATCTTTGAGCGTCTCATCTCTTTGCTACTTGTCTGAAGCTGACTAGATTGATTAGTACCATTTGAATTTGACAGTTGATGCCGTAGTCTGGCTATGTGGTGATCTAACGGGACATATTTATACGCTTTTAATCCCTAATTTTTGCATGGACCACCCTTTCGGGTTTTCAGTCCACCGGGATACCATTTTTTGCCCAAGTCGCCTTTTCAAGTTTTCAACTTGCCGGGTGTACAGATTTTTCATATATATATATATATATATATATATATATATATATATATATATATATATATATATATATATATAACTTTTTCCCGAAACCTTTTGGTTTTCCGGGATGCCTTTATTTTTTCCTAGGCCAGTCAACCTAGCGGGTCTCTTTTCATGCGTAGTATCTTTAACTATGTCTACGTTTGCTGGATGCGGAAGGTTGTCACCGTCCATAGTGGTTAATATCATAGCTCCACCAGAAAATATGTTCTTGATCACAAATGATCCTTTGTACGTGGGAGTCCATTTTCCCCTGGGATCATCTTGTGGCAGGATGATGCGCTTGATTACCAGGTCACCAACTTGATATTCCTGACATCTGATCTTGTTGTTAAAAGCTTTGATCATACGTTTCTAGTACATCTGACAATGACAAACTGCCGCGAGCCTTTTCTCGTCAATCATGTTCAATTGGTCAAGTCGAGTCTGAACCCATTCGTCTTTATTCAAACCTGCATCCTTCATGATTATCAAGGAAGGGATATGGACTTCAATGGGTAGGACAACTTTTATACCATATACCAGAGAGAAAGGAGTTGCCCCTGTTGACGTGCGTGCTGAGGTACGGTAACCATGAAGAGAAAATGGTAACATCTCGTGCCAGTCTTTGTATCTCACCATCATCTTGTGTATGATCTTCTTGATGTTTTTATTAGAGGCCTCTACAACACCATTTATCTTTGGCCGGTAAGGAGAAGAGTTATGATGCTGAATCTTGAATTGTATGTAGAGCTCGATGATCATAGTATTATTGAGGTTGGTACCATTATATGTGATGATTCTTACTGGAATACCATACCGACATATAAGGTTATGTCTGATAAATCGTGCCACGATG